TTCCATTTTATGATCGGAAATTGATTTATTGTTATTATTTTTTAAAGCTGTTAAATATATGCAAATATAATTATGGGATAGAAACATTTTTGGGATAAAGTTGATTTACTTTCTCTTTATATACTCCATTGAGAGCAAAAATCATTGTAAGCCTTTTTACAAGATTTCATTTAGTACTCTCGACCGTTTCTTGGAGTAAAGATGGAAAAATATTAAAATAAATTAATTGGATTACGAAAGTCTTGTATGAAAGTTTCATCGTTGGAATAGCATTTCGTAATCTGGCCTTCATACACTCAACGAAATTAATGTTTTTATACTAGTCAATTTGGAGAAGTAGTTTTCAACAAAAATAGTTTCGTAAGAGTTACACTTGAAAGTGATTGTAAATAAAAATATATTTCGTTTTAGTTTATTACTTGATTATCACTATTTATAAGCATGCTAATTAGATGAGCTAATAGGTATTAGCTGTGAGAACAATTAAGATTTTTCTTCTAGGATTTTTAAAAGATTCTTCATTCTTATATTTTATTTATTATTTATTATTATTTAGTATTTATTTGGGTTACCTTTTTAACGGCGTTATTGTTTGTTAAGGTTTGAAAACCAAGTAGGATTTCGATTTGTTTTTTTTTTTTTTGGATTTAATAGACCTATGTGCATAAAAACTAAATCTCACAGAAATCTCCTAGTAGAAATGTATGATTATGGAATGATAAATATTGGAATAAGGAGTGGTGTCATTGTTTACTATAGTGTTGTTAGCCTCCGGATCACTGATATCGTAATAAATAATGGTTTAAATACCTTATACTGTCAGAGTGATCCTGAAGTTTCCTTTTATTATTTTTCTTTAAAAAGCTTAAAGGATCCCTTTGACAGTATAACGTATTTAAACTATTATTTATTAGTGTACTATAGATTTTATAAGTTTAAGAATCACTCGTATTTTCACTAACTACATTGCCACAACACACATAATTAAAATATGTATTTTTAGGATAACAGACACCTGCACAAAAATGAAAGGTGGTAATAATGTTACTGCACCGTGATACAAAATTGAGACATTATAACTATCTAGCAAATACCCTACAGGTTAATAATTTATTTATTTTTTTTATAGAATCAAATAATGTGGACAATAATTAAGAACGTATTATTTCATTTTATAGATACGATGTATCGTAGCTTTATTCTGTGACTGTAGCTACGTGTCTTACAATTAACAGTTACATTAATTACAATGTACATTAATTTTACAAAAATTAACATTTTCCTTCAGTTTGTAAGTCTTTTTAATAAAACTAGTTTTCTAGTTTTATTTCTTACGTAAATTGTATTACCTCAATTATATTACTTAGGTTTATTAAGACTGTTTGTATTAGCCCAGCACACACTATGTTATTGTCTCAAGACTCCCAATGGATACGCCGTAATCAATTCTCGACCTGTCAACATCTTCAAAGGTAACCAAGTAAATATCGTTTGTGTAACCTTATTTTTTTTACAACAAATTTGAACTGTTTCCTATATAATGATAGTTGCACAACACTAACATTTATTAATACATTTTATTTGAAAAGAAACTCTCCTTTTTCTTATACTGTAGTAACTTCCTTCGTTGACTATTAAATACTTCGATTATAATTATTTTCGAAACAATCAATCAACGATTCGAAAACTGGGTTTCACTGATTGCAATTTTCTAGCTAGAGATGTTTTTTTAAGTGAGCTGGTTGACGTCATCTAAATTATTTAAGTCAGCGAATTTAATTTATTTAGATGATTAACTGAGTTGGAAGAATGTAAAGGAAGGTATATTTTTATCTTTATACATTGGTTAGTAGCAAACGAATTAGTCTTTTTATGTTCTAGGAACCCATAAAAGTTTTACGCACGGGTTGGCAGCTCCCTGAGAGGTTTCTCCATTAATGGTCAATTTACTTTTGCTATTCTTAGTCTTTTATAGATAAGCCATTTTCGAATATAATGGTTGGTAATGATATTTTCCATTAGATTTTATATCACCCTAAACTACTATATGATGATGAGGGTAATGTCCTGTCACAGTGTTATCTATTGTAACCTCAAATTTTATATCAGTGTAAAGAATTTCTAGTTTTTTTCGGATTAGGCCCTACCATGGAACAGATGATGGTGTCAATTAAATCACAGAAAACATACCGTAATATGTTTTCTGTGATTAAATGCACGTCAGAGATCTAGTGAGCAAATAAATTCTTTTATCTTACTTTTGTTCGGCAAAATTTAAGTACCACCGGAAAATAACATCTAATGTGAGTCTTAGTTTAATCAAAACTCTATTAACCTCTATATAAACTCTATATAACATTTTAATAATGCGGACACATTGGGGTTAGAAACATTGTTAAACATTATTAAAACAATAAAGTAAAAAAATGTTATTTTAATTTAAAACCTGTGTTCAAATTTTAAATAAAAGATTATTGTAAAATTTTTTAAACTTAAATAATAACTCGGGGAGCGAGATAGTCTAGTGGTAGAGCGCAGGACTTCGGTCACTGAGGTCCCGGGTTCAAATCCTGCCAAATCACCGATGGATTTTATGTAAGTTATTATGCCACACCCTCTAGGTCCAGCCTGAATTAATGTGTAAAACGATATTCTAGGACAAAACAATTGAGTAACTAATTTGGTGAGTGATTACTGTAACGTAAAATTCAAGTAGTCAATATTTTCTCTAGAATCCGGCTTAACTTTATAGGCATTTTATAAAAAAAACATGGAACGGGAGATGTAAACAAACCAAATATACGGTGGTCCTGTGGTAGAGTAATACAAGCCATTTTTCTCGGTTAGCTGCCAAACTGCGTGGACAGTCACAGCAAAGGTTAAAAATCCTAAATTTAATTAACTGTTCTAACATTGAATCATAATTGGATTCATCACCCACAAAGGTAAAAAATCCTATTATTGAAACAACAAAGGACAAATCATATATTTAATCCCCTCGAGATTGAAAATTGTTGCTTACAGTTTCCTTTTTACATGAATTCGAATTTGACTATGACTAAAACATTCTAATATCCATTATAGGCTACTTTCTTGCCAAATGGTATTTTCAATAGTCATCAATATATTAATAGGCAAACATGTTTTTGAAAACCTCTTTTCTCAGCTCGTGTGTATCGTAGGAAAAATCTACCCATACTGTTAAAAAGATATTTTAACTTAGATGTGCAGAATCCCTTTGTAAATTAAAATAGGCTCAAAAATTAAACAAAAATGGATTTAAAATAACAAAAATGATCATGTGCCTTATGATTTGCCATGCTGGTGACAAAATAACAACGAAATATAAACGGTTAATCAAAACAAATGGAAGAAATTCCAATCACATGTTTTATTTACAGCCTGGGTTGAAAATAGATAACTATGTAAATTACATATTTTTGGACGAGTTTTCGACCACTGAACGACCTCTAGTAGATATAAATCAGACACATATGTGGTTTACACTTATTATTCATTGGTATGTTTGTATAGTAGATATAAACCTGTATTAATATATTTAATTGTATATCTTATGAGTATATCTAAATACTATACAATCCGATGTGTAACTGACTGGGGATACAAATTCTAGACCACTTCTAGATGAGCTAGAGACTTGAAATTTTCGGTGGTTGTAGGTCTAGTGCCCAAACCACCCATAAAATTCCAAAAAGTCGCATTTTCAAATTTTAACCCCCCCAAAAATTCGAATTCCCCCCCATGTTATTCTTATGGGGAATAACATTAAAAATGGCCGACTTTCGTGTTCCCATCTGAACCACTTAGAAACGTGCTAGAGACTTCAAATTTGCGTAGTATTGTAGTAAAAGATCTTACATTACCGGTGGAATATGCAAAAGTCCCATTTTCAAATTTTAACCCACCCAAAAATCCAAAACGGCGGACCTCTGAAAACGAAAAAACACTTTTTTTTCAACCGGATGTAGCTCGAAAACGGTAAGAGCTAGAAAAGATTTGACAGTATATTCAGGAACAGGAATTAAATTTTCTACAAAACCCTCTTAGGCGTTTTCAGAAAATCGCACTCCTTAAGCTTCAAAAAACGCCCTACTTTCAAAATTTTGTAAATTTTTTTCAAATTTTTATCGGTTTTTGCTATGTTTTCGTACCTAAATAATTATTTTTTGCAAATATTATTAATGTTTCGTATTCTCCTTAGTTTACTTTACATTTCACCCTTTACATGTATTTTCGTAACTTTACTCCTTGACCCCCAAAAACTTAATTTTAATGTGAAAATTTGATTGGTTTTTACCGGTTTTACCAGCCCCATGTTATCCTTATGGAGAATAGCTATGTAATTTTAATACTTTGGTATGCTCATCTGATTAGTTTAGAAACGTTCTAAAGACTTTAAATTTTTGTAGTATTGCAGTATGGGATCATCCGTTAATGGTGGAATTTGCAAAAATGCCTTTTAAAAATTTTAACCCCCAAAAAAATCCAAAATGGTAGACGTATAAAAACGAAAAAACACGGTTTTTAATACCGACTATAACTAAAAAACGGTAATAGCTAGCAAAAATTTGAAAGAATCTTCATGAACAGGAATTAAATTTCCTACAAGACACTATTACGCGTTTTTAGAAAATCGCACTCCTTCACCTAAAAAAAAGCCCCACTTTCAAATTTTGGTAAATTTTCTTCAAATTTTTAACGGTTTTTGATAATTTTTCGTACATAAAAAATTTTTTCTTCAAATATTATTAATGTTTCGTACTCTCCTTAGTTTACTTTACATTTCACCCTTCACATGTTTTTTCGTAACTTTACTCCTTGACCCCCAAAACGCGTAGGTCAGTAACGCTGTATAGTCATTTGGTTCTCGCTCTAATTTTTGCTAATGGATTTGGCTACCCATGATTAAGTTTCACTGTCACTTCTTCCTATTTATTGGACTTGTTATTTTGGCGATTTTGCTGCAATTTTCTGTAAGCATGGAATTCTCTTGCGTTGCTGCTGGGTCGTTCCACCAGGGAGATCCCAGATTTACCGAGAGCAACAACGCTCAATGCATGGCAAATGCAACCTGTGCCCTCGCATGGCAAGCATTCTGCGGCGGATTCAGTACCAACGCTATTGACGCTATACTCATGGCGGGCGATAGCTTGTATACACTATCTCGCCGTGAGCATAGCATCACTAACCGGTATCTGTTCCCTGAGGACCTCGCCAGGCACTTCGTGGTTGCACACCATCGTGTTACCATCGAAGAAATTTCTTGTGTTTGGGACGGGTTGTATCCGTTACGAAACGATGGCCTAGATGAGGTGACCTCTTCCTTGTCTTCGGTTTTGGAAGCAGCTATGCCCGGTGACTCCGTTGATAGCGGTTTTTTGTTTACGGGACAGTTGGTGACAGTCGCTTTTTGGCGTTTCCAAGGGCGGCTGTACCTCTTTGATTCCCACGCGGTAAACGAAAACCGTCGTCGAGACATTGATGAGGCGAGAAATAAGGCTAGGGTGTTCGTCTGTAATAGTTTTCGTTCTCTAGCTTCCCTCATTTTGGTGAATTCTGCGTTCGTCGGTGGGCAGTACTCCGTCACAAAAATAAAGTTTTCCGTCAACGAAACTCAAACTGTCCACACGGTCGACTGTTCGGACAATGACTTAACTCAGTTATCAGAATCTGCCTCTGAGACAGTTGTTCAGAAAACCAAATGTCCTGGTAGACCAAAAACAATAAAGCGTGGTCGTCCAAAGCTTTTAGACACGACCCGAGAAGAGCAAGTGGATGCGGCGAAGAAGAAGTATAGGGAGACGCACGCTGACAAACTCCGGGATGACAGTCAACGTTACACTCAAACCCACCCTGAGGTGCACCGAAAGGCTGTTCAGCAATACGACCTGCGTAATCCCGGTGCTTCTGCTGAGAGAGTTCAGATTTTTCGCCTGAAAAATCCGAAAATGTCTGAACTTCGCTATATGCCCGCATCACTTGCTCGGTCCGTAGTCAAAAATGGCCCCATGTCTGTTTGGAATGGGGAGCCACTCAATGAAATACAACCATACAAATTAAAAAAAGTCAGTCTCTGGGTTGACGACGTTTACAGATGTCGTCATTGCCAAGCACGGCTCTTCGAGGAGGAGAAGAATAGAAAGCAATGGTGCTGCGGGGAAGGAGCGTTCAATGTTCTCGACATTCCTCCGTTGCAAGAACGCTTTTATTCCGACCGTCTCTTCCTGGAAAGAGCCCGTGCGTACAACGACCTGTTTGCTTTCTGCGCGCTCGAAGTGTCAGGCGGGTATCGTCATCCCAGTGGTCTTTCTTTTTTCAAGATCGAGGGAAGAATGTACCACCAGGTCTACAATCTGGACGCCCCAGGACAAAAGTTCACCACTCGTTCTGGGAACGTTCAGTTTGTGAATCGGTCCCGCCTGTATATTGACGATGGCGAAGAGCGCCGTAACATTGCGATGGGTAGATCGCTTGATACCGAGATCATCGACGGTATTGCTGATTTCCTGTCTAGGGAAAATCCTTACATTGAGCATTACCGTCGATTGAGCAACGAGCCTTCCGTAACAGCTCACTTGGCTTTTCAAGTAACAAGCAGGTCTACCCATGGCCCTGTTCTCGGTGATCGGCAAACAGGCGTCGAAGTGCACGCCGTGCTCAGCAATGATGAAAACGACACTGAGCCCCGGAGACTGACTATATGGAAATCCGGTTCCGATAGACCTACATTTATTGATCTTTTACACCCCCTAATGGAACCTTTCCAATATCCCCTACTTTACCCGCAAGGCACTGTGGGATGGCACGTTGGCCGCCTTGATAACAAGGGTGCCAAACTGACTCAATTTAAGTACTCGCGGTGCCTCCTACTTTCTGAACCTCGCTTCTCTCACCTAGGCCGTCTCTCACAAGCTTGGCAGGTTGAGATGTTCGCGAGGTACGAGGAGGAGAAACTGCGTTACATTAAGTTTACGCAGCTGAAGAACACCGATAGTGCCTTGCGGGTGGGGCCGGTTGACGAGATTCGGAATGCACAGCAGGTCTTGAACGACATCGCTCGTGATGAAACCGTCCAAGGCGAGGGTGGGGTGCAGGCAGGAAAAGTCTACCTCCCAAGTTCGTTCACCGGGGGGCCCAGGTACATGAAAGTAAAATACGAAGACGCTATGGCAATCGTATCGCGCCTGGGTTCCCCCACTTTCTTTTTGACGTTTACTTACAACGCGACTTGGGAGGAAAACAAGAAAGCTTGCCCTCGTGGAGGTACTCGCAGTGACCCTAGCACTGCTTGCAGAGTTTTTAGGATCAAACTTCTGGAACTTCTCCGAGACCTGCGCAGCGGAGCAATGTTTGGACGCTCTGTCTATATCGTCTACGTCATCGAGATGCAAATGAGGGGCCTTCCTCACGCCCACATTGTATTCAAGATTGACGGCGACGGACCAGTTCAGGCGTCCGAAATTGACTCCATCATCCGCGCGGATATTCCCTCGGAAGAAGAGGCCGGAGGCCGACTGAGAAAGTTGGTCCTCAAACACATGATCCACGGTCCATGTGGTAATGATCATAGGACTGACTTTCTCTGTTGGGACTCTGCAAAGGGTTACTGCACCAAATACTTCCCTAAGCCCTGCTGTGAAACCACCCACGTCGACGAGAGGGGATTCGTCCAGTACAAGCGAGATTATACCAATCGGGGGACAATTGTATCACGCAATAAGAACATTATCGTACATGACGGTTGGGTTGTGCCTTATAATCCCGCACTGATGTTGAAATACGAGGCTCACATCAATTTGGAGCTGGCGTCTACTCGCCGCGTGATTAAGTACCTCTTCAAATATCTTATGAAGGGAGGATCTCTCCAGAACGTCACAGTTACTCCCTTCAGTAAGCAAGATGATGAGGTACAGCATTACGTGACGAAGAGAATGGTGGGTGCCAGTGACGCGTGCTGGCGTTTATTAAACTTTCCAGTATCAGAATCTGAGCCGGCTGTTGAATGTCTTCCCGTCCATCTGGAGGGCAAGCAGTCCGTCCTGTTTAGACCTGGCCAACTGGCAGAGGCAGCCGCTAGGAACAGCTCCAAACTCACCATCTACTTTGACCGGCCTCGTATTTCACTGTTTGACGACCTGACTTATCAGGGGTTCTATGAAACGTTTGTGGTTCATGTCAAGCGCCCAAAAACTGCGGAGATATACGAGCACCCCGATGGCGTCCATTTTATCACTGCCCGACAGCGTGGCGAGAAGGTGTGCAGACTGTTTTGGGTCTCACCGAGCAGGACAGAACAGTATTACCTGCGTATCCTGCTTATGACTGTATCTTGCCGTGGTTATGCCGACCTCCTGTCCCGCGGTGGACCAAACTGCCGCACTTTTCAAGGGGTCGCGCGGCATCTTGGCTTGGTGCAAGACGAACAGGAGTACCACTACGCACTGCGCGAGGCCGCCACTTTCATGACTGGCCCGAGACTTCGTTCTTTCTTTGTGATCCTCTGCAACATGGGGGCTCCTGCAGCTCTCCTGTGGGATGCTTTCCGTGATTCCATCTGCGAGGACCACATAGAGCGTAATCCTCTCGATGTTGAACTGGCCTACAAGCTAGGTCTCATCGATATTGATCGGAGTCTTCGTCGGCAGGGTTCTTGCGTCGCAGATCATGGCCTCCCCGATGTACACGATGACACGACGGAGTTGGGCAGAGAACTGCTCTTACATGGTGAAAATCAACAGAGAGTGTTTGTGGAGGAGTGGGTGCCAAAGCTCTCTGAAGATCAAAACCGCGTATTTGAGTACGTTACCTCCGTTCTCAATGCCCCTGCCAGCGGAACGTCGTCGAAAATCATTTTTCTTGACGGCCCGGGAGGCTATGGGAAGACCACTCTGATTCGTGTCGTGTCATTCTCGCATACGTGAGAGGTTGTCGTCAGGTTGCACTGGCAGTCGCTAGCTCTGGGATCGCCGCGGGTAACATGCCTGGTGGAACTACAGCTCACAGCATGTTCCGGTTGCCACTCGACTTCGGTGACGGCACCGGCTTTTGGAACATCACCAACGGCTCCCAGCGAGCAGAGCTCATCAGGGCCGCAAGGCTCATTGTCTTTGATGAGGCCCCGATGGCACATCGGTTCGTTTTCGAGGTTCTTGACAGATCCCTGCGAGACCTCATGCGTTCCAGTGAGCTATTCGGTGGTAAAATACTCCTCTGTTGTGGCGACTTTCGCCAGATCGCGCCTGTCGTTGTAAACGCTCGTACTCCAACTGACATTGTTTGTGTCTCACTTCGGGCTTCCCATCTGTGGCAGCATTTCAAAATTTTTGCCCTGACAACAGCTCATCGGACTAGTAGTTCCACAGCCTATTCCGAATTCCTTCTTAGGGTAGGCAACGGAACTGTCAGTTCGACCACTTTCTTGGAGGGACGGAACGAACAAAGTCTAATTCCGCTGCTCGGGATTAGACAAGTGACGTCTTTGACTGATTTGGTCGATTCCGTCTTTCCCGCAAACGTCCTACTCGACTCTGATATGTGTTCGCGACGCGCAATCCTCTCGACTCTGATAGTGAACGTCAAGGAGATCAACGACCACATCTTGAACTCCCTCGACGGTCATCTGTACGAGCTGAGGAGCGCCGACACAGTCGACAGAGAGAACGACGATGGCCTGGATGTCGACGTTCAACTCCTGAACACGGCTACTGGCAAGGGCGTACCAGACCATGTTCTGCGGCTGAAGATCGGTTCTGTTTGCCTCATTATGAGGAACCTCAACATCGCTGAAGGACTCGTCAACGGCACTAAAGTCATCGTAATCGGCATCACCAACCGCCTGATTACAGTGAGACTTTGTAACTATACAGCCCGATGTGTAACTCACTCACTCACTCACTCACGGGGGATACTAATTCTAGACCACTTCTAGATGAGCTAGAGACTTGAAATTTTCGGTGGTTGTAGGTCTAGTGCCCAAACCCCCGGGAAAATTCCAAAAAGTGACATTTTTAAATTTTAACCCCCCCGTAATCTCGAATTTCCCCCCCATGTTATTCTTATGGGAAATAGCATTGAAAATTGCCGACTTTGGTAAGCCCATATGAACATTTTAGAAACGCGCTAGAGACTTCAAATTTGCGTAGTATTGTAGTAAGAGATCTTACGTTACCGGTGGAATATGCAAAAGTCCCATTTTCAAATTTTAACCCACCCAAAAATCCAAAATGGCGGACCTCTGAAAACGAAAAAACACTTTTTTTTTCAACCGGATGTAGCTCGGAAACGGTAAGAGATAGAAAAGATTTGAAAGAATCTTAGCGAAAGGAAATTAAATTTTCTACAAAACCCTGTTAGGCGGTTTCCAAAAATCGGACTCCTTCAGCTTCAAAAAACGCCCTACTTTCAAAATTTGGTAAATTTTTATTAAATTTTTACCGGTTTTCGCCATTTTTTTTTACTTAAATAATTACTTTTCGCGAATATTATTATTGCTTTGTATTCTCCTTGGTTTACTTTAAATTCTACTCCTTTAATGTTTTTTCGTATCTTTACTCCTTAACCCCCAAAACTTAGGTTTAATGTCAAAATTGGAAGGTTTTTTACAACTTTTACAAGCCCCATGTTATTCTTATGGAGAATAACATTGAAAAATGCCGACTTTAGTATGCTCATCTGAACCACTTTGAAACATGCTAGAGACTTGAAACTTGGTAGTATTGTAGTATGGGATCTTACATTACCGGTGAGATTCCCAAAAGTCCCATTTTCTAATTTTAACCCCCCCAAAAATCCAAAATGGCGGACCTCTGAAAACGAAAAAACACGTTTTTTTCAACCGGATGTAGCTCGGAAACGGTAAGAGATAGAAAAGATTTGAAAGAATCTAAGCGAAAGGAAATTAAATTTTCTACAAAACCCTGTTAAGCGTTTTCCAAAAATCGCACTCCTTCAGCTTCATAAAACGCCATACTTTTAAAATTAAATAAATTTCTTTCTAATTTTTACCGGTTTTCGCTATTTTTTCATACTTAAATAATTACTTTTCACGAATATTATTATTGCTTTGTATTCTCCTTGGTTTATTTTAAATTCTACTCTTTTAATGTTTTTTCTTATCTTTACTCCTTAACCCCCAAAACTTATTTTTAATGTCAAAATTTGAAGGTTTTTTTACCACTTTTACGAGCCCCATGTTATTCTTATGGAGAATAAGATTGAAATATAATGACTTTGGTATGGTCATATGAATCGTTTAGAAACGTACTAGAGACTTGGAATTGGGTACTATTGTAGTAAGGGATCATAAGTTTATGGTGAATTTTGCAAAAGTCCCATTTTCAAATTTTAACCACCCTAAAAATCCAAACTGGCGGACCTCTAAAAACGACAACACACATTTTTTTTTTAATCGCCTATAGCTCGAAAGCGGTAAGAGATAGAAAAGATTTGAAAGTATATCCAGGAACGGGAATTAAATTTTATACATAACCCTCTTAGGCGTTTTCCGAAAATCGCACTCCTTAACCTTCAAAAAACGCCCTACTTTCAAAATTTGGTAAATTTTTTAAATTTTTACCGGTTTTCGCCATTTTTCATACTTAAATGATTTGTTTTTGCAAAAATTAATATTGCTTTGTATTCTCCTTACTTAACTTTAAATTTTACACGTTACGTGTTTTTTCGTAACTTTACTCCTTGACCCCCAAAACTTAGGTTTAATGTCAAAATTTGGGCCCCCCCCAATATTATTCCTACAGGTGCATCGGTCTAAATCAATTTTACCTACTTCTAGATTAGCTAAAGATCTGAAATTTTGCTCAATCGTAGGTCTTGCGCCATGGCCCATTTGTATTTACCCCCAACCAAAAAAGGGGGCCTAGGGGCCTCGTATTTTCACCCCCCCCCAATTTTAAATCTTTCCCCCTAATGTTATTCTTACAGGTGCATCGGTCTAAATCAATTTTACCCACTTCTAGATTAGCTAAAGATCTGAAATTTGGCTCAATTGCAGGTCTTGTGCCATGGCTCATTTCTATTTACCCCCAACCAAAAAAGGGGGCCTGGGGGCGGAGCCCCCAGCGAGCCAAAGGCTGCGTCATTACTGTTGTCATATCATAATAAACCAGGATATGATTGAGCCATGCGTTTGGTTTAATTTTTTCCCATCTCCACCCCAAATTCGTGTTTAAACCTGAAATTTTACCTCATTTTCCCTATTTTGGGTGATTTTTACTGCGCAAGGGGTCCATACTTCATGCCAATAATTTTTAACAACCCCCCCGCCCCCGAAGGGGGCCTAAGATTATTTTAAAATATTATTTTACCTGTCTCCAACTCCTAAGACTTTATAACGATGCTTATTGATGTGAAGAAAGTTTTAGATGTTGTGACTTAGCAAATATAATTATTTATCATTACTGGCCCTACATCGAGACTCTAACATGTCAAGACTGGTTTGGTTTGCACTAAACAACCCCCCTATGGAATACTTCGCAACTGCCAAGTTATCACTACGTCTTTTACGCAAAAAGCAAAAATGTTTCCGGACAACATCCTGTCCCCCGTGACAATTTCTCATCACGGCTACTATTAAAAGGGGGCCTGGGGGCGGAGCCCCCAGCGAGCCAAAGGCGAGTCTTATCTTATATATCTTATATCGTATATCTTATATCTTATGTGAAACGTATATATTTCTTTACCACTGACCATGATTTTAGGTGATTAAAATTGTTAAGGATTGATTAGTTTATTAATTACTTAATTATTTATTTATTTATTTTATGGCATGTACAAAAATATTTCTAAGTAACTTCCACTTGAAATATTAGAGCTTGCCTTACTGTTGTCTAAGAAATGGTGTAATTACAAGCCTTTTCAGTTTGGGCTCTTACAAAAATTATAAAAGCGGTTTTGCTGGGTGTGTACATTGTGGACATTACCTCTACTTCCCCTGTCACTTTTCACTAGTTCATTAATTACGTTAGACAGGCTGCTGTTTACTCCAATACTGAAAGGAAAATTATATTTACCCCTCGTCACTGTCAACCGTTAGGTGTTCTGGGCATAATTGGGTCTGAAACTGTTAAATATTCCTCCACTCAAGCGAGGAGTTCTGAGTGCCATTGAAACGTTTTAAACTTTAAACTTATTTAAATTTTAAAATTATACATTTTTAACCTTTTGAAACGTTAGCAGTTTCCATAAACTCCTTATATAAAATTATTCCCGTAACTATATCGACATACTTATGTACATGATATTAGTATTTGCATTAACAAACACTGACTGTAATAAATTATAGCAATATTCTTATAACGTTTAAGTTTTTTTTTTGTATTCTTAAACATTACATGTACGATTAAGTTTACTGCAGGTCACAATATAATGTACGCTGCAATCACCTAAAGCTCTTTCATAATTCATTTTCTGTGGTAAATCCGTTTCAAATTTATGGATTGAACTATTAAACTTCGACTGCCCCTGGAGTTAGTTTCCTTTATTATGAATTGACACCACTAGCTCAGATGAAGCTATTCCTTCTTTCAGTGTTAATGTGCTAAGAATAAAAAAGTTAAATATCAATGAGCTTCATGAATACAGTAGTGAAACAACTAACAAACAGTTGTTGGCTTGGATTGAATTTTTAACGATATGCATTTCAATGCAGTTCTAAGTAAACTACAGTTCTTTGACAACAGACAATTTAATAATAATCACATGAACAGAATATCACTTAACAAGTAGCTATTGAAGTTCAGCAAAGAATCCTTTGGTTTGTTAAGTTCTTTTGTCTTTAGAGACAACGTTAATTTAGTTTTACTTGGCCTCATTGGGCACATTTTATACACGTACGATGGATAAATGTTTGTCATTTAAAAATTAAAATTTTAAGATCATTTAAGCATGTTTATTACTATTTAAGGGCCTTCACATTTTCAGATTTCGAATAACACGCACACAAAAATCTTTCAAAAAATTATCAACAACAAAAAATGTATACCGATAAAACGTGCTACTATAATCTTTGGTAATACAGCCTAGAGTTGAATCACAGAGGAATTCCTGGATCTGTATTTAAAACCTAGGCAAAACCTTTTGACAAAGATTGTTTAGTTCAGTTTGTCAGCGTTAAATAGTGTTACGTCTTGGTATGTCAAAGCAAAACTTATAATAAACTATCCGACCCGTGATAAGTATTCGCACTACATCTTTCTCAAATCCCACTTTGAGTATGTACAAAGGTACAAAACATACAGTTAATTCTGCGTTAGTGCATCGTTGATTTAAGTTTGGGTCCTTACTTCAGGAATAGATGTGGGTTTACATTTTAGATAATTAACCTTTTCAAAACCAAATGTTAAGCTATTTACGTTTTTACATGCTTAACTGGACCTATTTAAACACCATGTTTGAAGTGTAAATACCAACATATTTTACTCTTTTCATATATTATTAAGTATTTTTTGTGTGTCTTCCTATATTTCCTTTCTTCTAAAAGTTAATATGAGCAACCATTCTGATAGATGGCCTTTCACATTATAATGACAACAGTTTTGCCAAATAAATTTTACATTCAGTTCAAATTATTAAATACTCAACGAAGAAAATTCTTTTTCATCGTTAAATTCATATCCTTGTTATTTACTTAATGGTCGATGAATCGGACAATCGCAATAGATTAACTAAATAATTACTTAACTAGAGAAAGAGTTTTGTCAATGAAATGGTTTTAATTATGTGCTGTTTGTAGGTACAAGTTGTAATAAAATTATTTTAACAAATGTAACCTAACATACCAGTATCTCAGCAATATCAATAGTATTGTCAAATTATTATAACATAGAGATGTTTTTTT